CGATGCGCGCCACTCGCCCATTAGCCGATCATTGTCGTCCTTCCCGTTGCCGCTTGCCTCCGTTGGCTCGGGCCATGGGTCCCAACCCTTTAACCTCACACAATCATCCGCTGGTATCCACCAACCATTCTTCTCCCATCGCAAACCACGCCTTTTAGCCTCCTTCCTTTGAGCTCGTCTTTTCTTTGCACAAGTCTCGCACCTACATTGACTTGCTTTTCGGGCCCTTGCCTTGCGTTGCCACTTGGTCGTCCGTTTTCTTACCTTCGACTTCAGCTTTGGCCCACAACCTTTTGGCACATCTCGTACACATGATGGCCGGTAAATAGGACTAGATGGCGCCTCCAACATATTTTCTAACCAAATATCAAGACCATCGCCAACATCATTGTCGGACTCACCGGGATTGATGACCACTTCCGTATCATTCCCCTCCTCTTCGAGACTTTCCTTGTCCTCAAGGATTAGAAAATTAAGCACTCCTTCATCTTCATTGTTAGGATCCTCAACTACCATCGCTTCCCGGGCTTCCATGAGTTGTCTTTCTCGATCCACCCAATCTCTACGTTCGTGAAGCTCCTCCAAAAATTCTCGCTCCCATGTGGTTAATTCCCTTTCCAATCCTTCGAGATACTCAAGATCTTCCAGATCTAACTCATCCAATGGTAACATCATGATTTTTTATTTATTTATTTTTTTTACTATAAAAAAATCGAAATTAATAGGGGAAAAATTCGAACCCCCAACAAGACTCAAAAAATCGAAACAAAAAGAAATTCGGCCCCTCAACAAAAGGTAATAACCGAAACAAAAATCAAACAAAGGACTAACAAGATGACACTTTTTTTTTGACTCAAATTCGAAAATATAAAGGGAAAATTCGAACAAAATATTCGAATCCCAACAAAAATAAAGAGAAATTCGGCCCCTCAGCAAAAGGCAAATCCGAAAAAAATAAAAGGATAAGATAGACAAAAAATCGATCAGCACCTCTCAATGAAAGCACCAATGATGACGGATCGATCTTCTGTCTATACGATTGTTGTGAATAAACGCGCTCTGGGCCTTCGTTTATCCACGATAGACGTGTCTAACAGACGCACTGCGGCCTTCTCCTAGACACCGTGACTTCAAGACGCACTAATAGCCTTCTCTCCGACACTGTATGTAAACACGCACTAACGGCCTTGTTTAAACACACGTTAAGAACATCAGTTCCCCCTCAAGATTGGCTCACCAATTCAATACTTCATTCCACTTGTAAAATATGATGAGGTACATGGGGTATTTATAGGTGCAGAAATAAATCTATGCCTAACTATACTAGATCTCCTAATTATTGCAATAAATCCTAACTCTAGAAAGCAATAAAATCCTAAAGCTACCAAATAACTATTGCTTGGCTTGCACACCAAGCAAATCTAGAAGCTCCCTAAAATCCCACATGCTAA